ACAGAAAAAGCCACATTTGAATAGATGCTCCTCAATTGTTATCTTATGTTTGGGGTTAGAATTCACATATGTGGGGCTGGTATTAACAGAAGAGGTAAAAATTAATAATATATTATGCTGAATAATATGAAGAAAAATAAATATGTATATGTATAAGTAACATATTTTTTAAATTATGAAAGAGAAATTACTGCAGCCATGCATGGAACACGTTTTCTTGTAATCTGATGATAAAAAAATCACAAAATATGGTAACACAAACGAAAACTCAAAATATGTTGAAATATTTCAGCATCTTTGAAAGATTTGATTTTTCTAAATAACTACATATTTATCATTCTTAAAGTGATCATAATTTATTTTCAAACTTAACCGACAAATTATTTAAACATCATACGATGACGTAGCAAATGCCCCATTTTTATCTTAAAAGCTAGCTAGGTAATTAACATAATAAATAATTCTACTACCAAGCAGTCCTACGGTAGTAGTAAATATGCTAGGTCATATAGCGAGTACATCAAATGGACGCCAGATGGCCCTAAAGAGTATATTGTCATTATAATGACGTTCCGATATTTTATTCCCTTTTGGGATGGGACATCGAAACATCGATGTTTCGATGTTATCGGAGTTAAAACATCGAATGTTTTTGATCATCGATGAATATTGATCATCCCAAGGTCAGCGAACATAAATTTATGTCCACCATTGCCCTATTTTAATATGAGGCTTCACGCCCCTGCTTGTCCTTTAATTTACCGCTGTCCATCCTAAATATAACTCTGGCTACGGCCCTCTCAACTTTGCTGTCTTGGATTATTAATGTTCAATTCTTTACTTTTCCAGTGTACAGATTGCCGTGTGCGCCGTCGTCGCCGCCGCAGCAAGCGCAAGCGCCACGCTGTGACGTCACCTCCAGTGGGAAGCGCAAGCGCTCCTGGTCCCGCGCCGTCTTCAGCAATCTGCAGAGGAAGGGACTGGAGAGAAGGTTCCAGATACAAAAGTATATCACCAAACCAGATCGGAGGCAACTCGCAGCAACGCTGGGATTGACTGATGCGCAGGTAGTTATAGTTTAATGTTTAGGGGAATGGGGTCAGGGTTATTTTTATGTTAAAAGGATGGCAAACAAGCACATGGCCCGCCTGGTGGTAAGCGGCCGCCATAGCCTAAAAAGACGCTTACGATACCAAAGCTGTCGCTCCCGCCGTTAGCTAGCTTGAGCCCATCCTTTAGGCCGTGGAGCCCTGGAATCTTACTCACGAGTGCGCCAACATCGCCCTACAGCGTCTTGCGCTAACTTCACAACTGCCATTAAGTTTGAATCGCCTTAAAGGTTGTGGCGTGTATGTGCCTCCCTTCGGCTCAAAGGAAAGATATTGACCGTTGAAGGGACCCGCGTGGGGACATTTCGGGTAAAACCACATGCGCCAACGCAGGGCGATGCGTGTCAGTCACTGGCCGGGACTCGATAAAGTAGTCACGCGCGGTGCCTTGATTCTCCCGCGCTCGTGTGCTACCGTTAAGTTTGAAATAAAGTGTAATCATATAAACGCGTATTATGTTTCACTAAACCACACTCCACCCGGATGGTTACAAGGTACATTTGCGATATCACTTCCTTGACTCATATCTAAATTCAGGGTTTTCCAAAAATTTGTGATAGATCATCAATATTGACATCATTTTCAACAGGCGGTTCAGAGGCTAGTGACTTATTTGATCACTGGGATCTGGGCGGACTGCGTCAAAACAAGGCGCCAAATAAGTTCTTAGAAAAATATGTCTTTACATGGTAACATTCCCCTTAATAGCTATAATGTTACTTACCATGAAGGTTTTAAACAATATATTCCTAAGATTTTGTCTGCAAAAGAATATCTAATATTTAAATTGATGACAACGTTTGATAACAGGTGAAGGTGTGGTTCCAGAACCGGCGTATGAAGTGGCGACACACGAAAGAGGGCCGCGCGCCTACCAGGGCGCCAGACGTTGAAGACAACGAAGATATCGATGTTGACACGCTGAGCGACTGACCAACCTACACGGATAGTATTATCTGTGGATAAGGATAGCATTATCTCTAGCTACGGATAACATTATCGATGGCTAATACACAGGGAGGACAGCGAGCGCCATACCTACATGGACGACAACGACGAAGTAGATGATGACACGCTGAGCAACTGACGAACCTACACGGATAGTATTATCTGTGGATAAGGATAGCATTATCTCTGGCTACGGATAACATTATCGATGGATAATACACAGGGAGGGCCGCGGGCGCCAGACATGGATGACAACGACGATGTAGATGTTGACACGCTGAGCGACTGACGAACCTACACGGATAGTATTATCTGTGGATAAGGATAGCATTATCTCTGGCTACGGATAACATTATCGATGGATAATACACAGGGCGGGCCGCGGGCGTCAGACATGGATGACAACGACGATGTAGATGTTGACACGCTGAGCGACTGACGAACCTACACGGATAGTATTATCTGTGGATAAGGATAGCATTATCTCTGGCAGCGGATAACATTATCTCTGGTTAAGGATAACATGATCTAAAGGTAGAGAGCCGCGCGCCTACCAAGGCGCCAGACGTAGAAGACAACGAAGATGTTGACACGCTGAGCGACTGACCAACCTACACGGATAGTATTATTATCGGTGGATAAGAATAGCATTATCTCTGGCTACGAATAACATTATCGATGGATAATACACAGCGAGGGTCGCGGGCGCCATACCTACATGGACGACAACGACGATGTAGAATTGTAGATGTTGACACGCTGAGCGACTGACGAACCTACACGGATAGTATTATACGCGGATAAGGATAGCATTATCTCTGGCAGCGGATAACATTATCTCTGGTTAAGGATAACATGATCTAAAGGTAGAGAGCCGCGCGCCTACCAAGGCGCCAGACGTAGAAGACAACGAAGATGTTGACACGCTGAGCGACTGACCAACCTACACGGATAGTATTATCTGTGGATATGGATAGCTTTATATCTGGCTACAGATAGCATTCTCTCTGGTTAAGGATAACATGATCTAAAGGTAGAGAGCCGCGCGCCTACCAAAGCGCCAGACGTAGAAGACAACGAAGATGTTGACACGCTGAGCGACTGACCAACCTACACGGATAGTATTATCTGTGGATATGGATAGCTTTATATCTGGCTACAGATAGCATTCTCTCTGGTTAAGGATAACATGATCTAAAGGTAGAGAGCCGCGCGCCTACCAAAGCGCCAGACGTAGAAGACAACGAAGATGTTGACACGCTGAGCGACTGACCAACCTACACGGGTAGTATTATCTGTGGATATGGATAGCTTTATCTCTGGCTACAGATACCATTATCGCTGGTTAAGGATATCATGATCTAAAGGTAGAGGGCCGCGCGCCTACCAGGGCGCCAGACTTTGAAGACAACGAAGATATTGATGTTGACACGCTGAGCGACTGACCAACCTACACGGGTAGTATTATCTGTGGATATGGATAGCTTTATCTCTGGCTACAGATAGCATTCTCTCTGGTTAAGGATAACATGATCTAAAGGTAGAGAGCCGCGCGCCTACCAAAGCGCCAGACGTAGAAGACAACGAAGATGTTGACACGCTGAGCGACTGACCAACCTACACGGGTAGTATTATCTGTGGATATGGATAGCTTTATCTCTGGCTACAGATAGCATTCTCTCTGGTTAAGGATAACATGATCTAAAGGTAGAGAGCCGCGCGCCTACCAAAGCGCCAGACGTAGAAGACAACGAAGATGTTGACACGCTGAGCGACTGACCAACCTACACGGATAGTATTATCTGTGGATATGGATAGCTTTATATCTGGCTACAGATAGCATTCTCTCTGGTTAAGGATAACATGATCTAAAGGTAGAGAGCCGCGCGCCTACCAAAGCGCCAGACGTAGAAGACAACGAAGATGTTGACACGCTGAGCGACTGACCAACCTACACGGGTAGTATTATCTGTGGATATGGATAGCTTTATCTCTGGCTACAGATAGCATTCTCTCTGGTTAAGGATAACATGATCTAAAGGTAGAGAGCCGCGCGCCTACCAAAGCGCCAGACGTAGAAGACAACGAAGATGTTGACACGCTGAGCGACTGACCAACCTACACGGATAGTATTATCTGTGGATATGGATAGCTTTATATCTGGCTACAGATAGCATTCTCTCTGGTTAAGGATAACATGATCTAAAGGTAGAGAGCCGCGCGCCTACCAAAGCGCCAGACGTAGAAGACAACGAAGATGTTGACACGCTGAGCGACTGACCAACCTACACGGGTAGTATTATCTGTGGATATGGATAGCTTTATCTCTGGCTACAGATACCATTATCGCTGGTTAAGGATATCATGATCTAAAGGTAGAGGGCCGCGCGCCTACCAGGGCGCCAGACTTTGAAGACAACGAAGATATTGATGTTGACACGCTGAGCGACTGACCAACCTACACGGGTAGTATTATCTGTGGATATGGATAGCTTTATCTCTGGCTACAGATACCACTATCGCTGGTTAAGGATATCATGATCTAAAGGTAAGAGGGCCGCGCGCTTACCAGGGCGCCTGACATTGAAGACAACGAAGATATCGATGTTGACACGCTGAGCGACTGACCAACCTAAACGGATAGTATTATCTGTGGATCAGGATAGCATTATCTCTGGTTGAGGATAACATTGTAACAAGATGTAGACGCCTCAATGACTGTAATTGGATCATGATCTCCTGACAATAGTTTATTGATTTTACATTTTACCCTTTTTTGGTCTTACTGTGGTGATACTTTATGTCAAATTTATTCGTATTTATCAGACTAATTATTCATATTTTACTTTAAGACGTTATTTTTAAGACAAATGCAATGTTTATTAAATATTTTTAATTTGTTTTTAGGGAGCCATAATACTAAAGAAAACTAGAGAGTAACTTGTAAAATTAACTTATTTAATTAATATAAGACTGATACACATTAAAACAACCTACAAACAACAGCTGTTTTTTTATTTAGTTCAATTTACATGTGAAAATTATCTACTTAACTTTTTATATAAAAACCCTTAATTTAAAGTTATATTGATCATTTGTCCCTTTAGACATTTTCTAGTTCTATTAATTTCTGGAAGTTTTAGTAATTCATATCATAATCTGCTCCCCCTGGCAGGAGCACCGCGATTTGATATATATCGCGTTTTTATCACGCTCAACTGTCAGATTACTTTGAAGTTTCACAGTTAGACGTGATAAAAAACGTGGTATAATGTAAATTGTGGTGTTCACTACGGGGGCAGATCGGTAAAAGAGCACTTGTAAAAAGGTAGGTACCCTATCACTAACTACTTATTACTTTGATTCTTTTGCTAAAAACAACACAACTCTCCCATTTCAATATTAACACAGGAGGAACTAGTAACGATTTTGAAACAGGCTATTTGACAAGGTTTCGAAAATGTTCACACGTTATTTATTCGTGTAAAGGCACTCTATTCTGTATAACAGTAAAAAAAAAAAACGGGGAAAAAAATATGTCAAGTATGCCGCCGAAACGTTTCAATTGCAAATATGGCTTCTTTCAGGCAGGTGACGTCACATGGCTCTCATTAAAAAGTCAAACAGTACAAAGTAATGTCACTTCAACAGCATGTTTACAAGCAGGTGACGTCATTTTTAGCTCTACTTACGAAAAAGAATTTTCTATTTTTATTGTTTTTCATACTGACAAATAACCTTTTGTTTATACGCAATTGTGGCCGCTCTTAATTAAACGAGCCCTATTCTTGTTTCTCACTCATTTTACATAAATACAACCTATAGGGAACATGAAATAATCTATATTATATTATACATTTGGCGAAACTACCATTCTTGTTTGATACAGGTGATGCATTACAAACGTACAAGTATGAAAAGAGAACTTCATATAAAGTTCAATTTCAAAATTACTAATGATCTATGCTATAATATGATGTAGTAGAATATAGTTATAAAGAGAAAAATAGGAGTTCTATATACAAATTACCTATAGGTAAAATATTCTGTGACCGCATTTCTTTAAATAATAAATTACTTAAATGTGATTATTGCTGCCGTTTTTTGTCGTTCATTTTGAAACTACATATTCAAGGTTTTCAAAACAACCTTACACAAAGCCTTTTCGGTTGACCAGCTACAAAATTTCTGTTGTTATTCTTTCAAAATTTTCATTTCTTTTCATTTCACTTTCATTCAAAAGAAAAAATTACTTATTTTGATTAATAATCAACAAGCTTCACTTTATTCTTTGGGTAGGTATCATCTTCTCTTCCATCGGACTCATTGTCTTGCCTACTAGAAGGTCCATCGTAGCCATAACTACGATTAGGAGGTCTATAGCCTTGCCCCCTGTACCCGCCTCGGAAAGGGCGTCTTTTGCCGGAAGGATAAGACTTCTCTTGTTCCCAACGCGAGTCTTCGTATCGATTTTCACTTCCATATCGATTTTCTTCATAGCGATTCTCGCCACCGTATCTTGTTTCTTCGTAGCGAGTCTCGTTGCCGTAACGGGTGTCCTCGTAGCGCGGCTCGTTGCCGTAACGGTTGTCCTCGTAGCGAGTCTCATTGCCGTAGCGATTATATCTTTCATAACGATTGTAATGTGGACGCTCGTCCTCATATCGACGGCGGGACTGATATTCTGGAGACCGTTGTCTCGCTGCGATAGGTTCTCTGTCGGCTTCCCAGACTGGAATACGTTTCTCTTGAGGAGGAATACGTGTCTCTTGAGGAGAAGGACTCTTGGATTGACTTCGATCTTTCCTCCGCTCAGCGCTTTGAGATTCTCTGTTGGGAGTTACAAGTTTGTAAGTGCAAAATATCAGGAGAGTCAAGAAGATTATATTGGTTTTAAGAATTAGATTTTTTTTTGGACAAGTTTGTCAGTGCGAAATTAATTAATTCGTATAAGAATATCAGGAAAGTTTTACGATTGTTTTTGTTTTAAAAAATACATTTAAATGATTTATCTTGTTATTTTCTAACTAGCTCACCTAGATGAAGATCTGCTGCGAGTCCTGTCTGAACCTGAGTCGCTTGATCTTCTGTTCTGCTGATGCCTCATCTCCCTTTGCCTGTTAGAAGGAAAACGAATAAAGCAATTAATACAATGCTTAAGAAACTAATCTAGGCTACCAATTCAATTTATTGATTTTGGTCAAAACAGAAATAATATAATGTTTAATGTAGTGGTTGCTTAGGTTCTGGCCTTTTTTCTAACTTTTTTGACATTTACAGTGCGTAACTAAAGAGAAAATTCTATATCCATCGATGCTTTTTAGAACACGTATTTTAATGGCGTTATAATAAAGCAGTAGTTGATCACTAAATGGCTCGGTTATTATCACTTCCATCTGTCTAAAGCAGTTGGCGAATAGGCCTACAGGTAACATAATTTATCAATGACTGCCCGAATAGCGAAAAACGCTGGTTCAAGTCCAGTTAGAATCGATATTAAAAATCTTAGATATTACACCACGAACAAAATAGTGACAGAAAGCTGAAAGGTACATTGGATGATCACGTAATGCTTGCTCTGACGTTTGCAACCATTGTAGCAAATATTATGACAAAGATATTTGGCCAAAAGTTTCGTTTCTTACCGAGCAACGTAATATCCGCGAACGGACCCACTCCGATGAAGATGCCCCGGAGTATCAGGGGCGACGTGGGCCACCGCCTAGGCCTCGCGGCTCAAAAATTTTTATGCATTGCTTAAAAGCGTTTTTTTTAATATATAAAATCCGTCATCAGGTCGCCACAGAACAGGGCCTCGCATCTGTGTTGCCCACATCAAATTTAGGTCTTGCCCCGCCACTGGCATCAGCATCCAGAGAGCTGGAGCAATGCGGGCCGGTCCCCCCCCTCCCCTGGGGGCCATCCGCCTAACGGAAATGCTTTTGAAAACGCTAACGCTTTCGATTTTATTTTGTTATTTCTGACCGCCGAAAGTTTTCGAATACCTCACGCTCATTTTTTTTAATGTTGTTATTACCAATGCAAAAGAAAAAAAAGGGCGCGATGCATTTGAAAACCTCAGGCGGCTAGAAATAACAAAATGAAATCGTAACCGTTAGCGTTTTCCAAAGCATTTCCGTTAGGCGAAAGGCCCCCAGGACAGACCAGCGGCTCTCACAGGAGTGGGGGGAAGAGCGTAGTTCTCTCCGTCCCTCTCCCACCCCTTGGCCCGAACAAGGGCCGTAACCAAGCTTAAACCCTGCTGTGCACGATGGCCATAGGTTCACAATGTTGGCCAACAAAACTTAGCTTTATACGTAGAGCAGGCACAAAACTTAGCTTTATACCACCGTTCGTGTTTTCCCAAAGGTTGACTGGGAGAGAATGCTTTTAGCATTAAGTCCACCTTTTGCACCAATGTTATATATTTTGGCCAATAAAGTTTAAAAATAAATAAATAATGATTTTATTTATTTTTTAAGCATTTAACTGCTAGATGTTTAAATCTAAAGAAAAGTTTACTAGAAAAAAATCCACGCGGACCAGGCAGCGGACGGGACTCGAACCCGCATCCTTCGCTATCCAGGCGAATGCACTGACCATTATGCTACCACGGCCCTATTCGCCGCGTCGAAATTTTCCCTGCCTTGCAGCTTAGCTTATTTCTTCTTTCAAATGTTTAATACTTGAAAAAGTATTCATTTGACATTGTGGGTTACCTACAATGCGAAGAGATGGCGCTGCTTTACAGCTGAAGGCTGGGAAAATTTCGACGCGGCGAATAGGGCCGTGGTAGCATAATGGTCAGTGCATTCGCCCGGATAGCGAAGGATGCGGGTTCGAGTCCCGTCCACTGCCTGGTCCGCGTGGATTTTTTTTCTAGTAAACTTTTCTTTAGATAAATAAATAAATAAAACTCACTTGCGGCGCAGCTTGATGGCCAGCGCCCTCATCTCCTGGTCTCGCCTGGCCTGTCTCCGGTTCTCACGCTCCTGTCGCTCAGCTTCCGCTCGTTGATCCGCTCGCACTGTGAATGCACCATATAAAATTATGTACATGCCAAAAATTATCGTTTCATCATCAGAAACATGGAATTGAAATAACACAATTTCATTATCGATGGATCAGGATTGGTTTCACATGCCCTAGTTTTCAGAGAAATAAATTAAATGATATTTTGTGAACTCACAAAATACTTTCACACTTGAACCGAATATTTGGCCACAGATAAACAGTTTAATGCTGTAGGTGAAGTAAAACTGACATATTTTTTATGTAAGTGTATCATCATCATCAGCCTATTAATGTCCCCACGGCTGGGGCACAGGCCTTCCCTATGGATGAAATAGGGAGATTGCGCCATGACCCACCACGCGGGCCCAGTGTGGACGGTGGGTGCTGACGACTGCAAATGCAGCCGGGACCAACGGCTAAACGTGCTATCCGCAGCATGGAGGAGCTCGAGACAGTAGATTTTTGGTCACCCATCCAATGACCGACCACTGCGAAAATTGCTTAACTTCAACGATCGCAGCCGAACGCGCTAACCAATAATCAAATCACACATAATATATATATATATATATGAGTGATGCGTGCGCTGCTCCATTCCCCTATGCCTTATGCACCGCATTATGTTAAGTTTTTTTTATGTGTAACAAACATCTTTCCTCTCGCTTTCCTGCAATTTGTGGGAGTAATTTCGTGAAATGAGACGGAAGCGTGTAACAGGAAGTCGCGAAAGCGCGCGCTATTTGATTTGAACATAATGTTCAAATGGTTTATTCCTTTTGTAGTAGGTTTAATTTCTTTTTTTTACTAATATAAGGTGAGGTTCTAAATGTTACACATCGTACGCGACTACTGTAAGGCTCTCTCGTTTTTTTAATATAAATATTTCATTAAAAGATTAATTCATCCTTTAAAAGAGGCGTGAAGAAGCAACATGCAGGCCGGCAAGGTGAGGATGGCTGGTGTGGCAGGTAGAACTGCTGTACCAGCTATCTTCACGTCTGGACTTCACCATCACTTAACATAAGGTGGGGTGGAGTCATTTGTCGGACCTATCTATAAAAAATAAAAAATGGGTGCGAGTACTTATGTAGGCGCTTGAGAAGTTATCCTTCTTTCGCATCGTTTAAAATTAGTTTTTAATTGCATGCAAATAATTAATTACAATAAATTAATAAAAAGTCTGGAAAAGGACACAGTCAATAAAGTTCAGTTTTAATTTGAAAAAATAAATAAATAATCAAAATATTCAATTAAAATCGCTACTGAATATAATTTATTAGAACATATGTGATTTGCACTTGTATGAAACTCAAACACGTATTCCGAATATACAAACTAGAAACATGTGGATAAATATTATAAATATGAATACCTTTAACTGTTACTTTATTACAAAAAATAAAGATGTGGTTTTTGGTTCTACTACACCAATGGTCAAGAGATGGCGCTGTAGTCTCCTGAATCGCGCTTTGGTTCCGTTGTTCCAGATTAATAAATACTTTTGATAGGCCTTCACAATGCAGTCGTTAGCACCCACTAAATAGAGATTCTATATCTATTTTGTTGGTAGATTTTCTTAATGTGCGGTAAACACAAAATTTTGTGTTACAGTGATGCGCGCGCATCTTAAAATTTCACTCTCATCATTTTTTCATAACGCGCCTAAAGAAGTATAACTTCAAAAAGGAAAAAAAATCGTGGGCGTAGAACTCACGTTGCCTTGAAAGCTGCGCCTGCATTTTCCTTCTCAGTTTCTCTTTGAGTGAGAGCGCCTCACGCGACGGACCCTGAAATAAAAGCTGTTTTAATGCGAAAATTGCGTTTGAAGAGCCAACTCTTTACTGAATATGGCTCTGGGATTTTGATTCCACGCCGACGTTGTAATGCTGGAAGGATCTAGAATACTTCCCTGTTGAGTGCTGTGTAAAAAACGGTCTATCTCAGAAACGTAAATTAAATAAGTGGTGATGTGCTGTCTTACTCTATTGTTAACTTAAAAGTGTCCGTAAAACTTGAATTTCGATGTTAATGAATGTGGGTTATTAAACAATATCAACTTTCTTCTGTTACGATGATGTTTTTTTTTATTGCATTAACATAGAAGACAAACAATCACACTACAGTCTGCCTGATGGTATGCGGTTTCTAACTTAAAATATATTATTAGCAATAGGTATATCTTCAAACGCAGACTTATTTAACTTTTCGAACACGATTTATTCGAGGTAATATAATAGCCGAGGCAACTTTTAGATAAATGCCTTAAAATCCAATAAAGTATATTCCATATTTTAAAGACAAAAAAATATATATTGTTATTGGTAACACCAAAATAATCAATCTTTCTTCTTGTGGGGAAAGTAAAAAAAAACACAATGGAAGACAAAGGATATCACCTGTACGTAGTCGCAGTGTTATCTAAATAAAGAATATGTTACAAGTACTTAGAAGGAATCTTAGGTAGTAAATATTTGGTTTCAACAGGCATAGCCATACACTATGAGATAAGCACCGGTAAATAGATCTATTCTCTTGAAACGTCATTAATATATTTTTATTAGGTAAACATATATATATGTATACGTTATATATTTGTAAATATAAAGAAAATCATAACGAAACTTTTGAAATAGCCCGAATATGAAAAAAATACTTGTCTACAGTGCTTCTTTTAATAGTTATATAAATAAAAGACACATCTGTGTAAAACAATAAAAAAATAAGAACCTGCTTTGTTATTTTCATTGCCAAAATCTCGCAATATAGATATTTCCAGTCCGATCTCGCCATTCTCGACATCCCACGAGATTGTTCAATATTTTTTTGTTAAAGAAGTTATCAGTCTGATGCAATATTTCAGTATTATATATTTGTAACAAATAAATCAGTCTTATTTATTTGTAATTTAAGAAAATAAGGATATATTATCATAAGTTTGGAAATAGCAAAGGTAGGGTTTGGTTCGATCGGTTTAATATTCAAAGTATTGTCTGACTGATGACTTCTTATTTTGCAGGCCAAAGAACTTTCAGTATAGGGAAAGCTTATTGGTAACACCAAACAAATAAGTTTTAAGTTTGATGAGTTTCACTCCATGAATATAATACAATACATATTTTTTCCTTTCTTCTTTTGTTTTCCTTCATGTCAATTTGTACGTTGAAAGCAATACAAGCAAATTTTACCTATTTAGTTTGGATTTTATTTATTTCATTCTTCCACGCTCCGATTGAACTAAGCGCATCTAATTCACCCAACATAACAGTGTAACAACGCTCTTTCAGCTTCTATACTTGGTTGAGAAACTTGGATTTAACTTCTTGTGCAATCTCGTTAATCTCGCGAGATCTCGCCCAATTTTTGATCGAGATTTATCTCGGTAAATATGGCCGAGATCTCGTAAGCTCGCGAGAGCGAAATTGCATTTCCTAGACATATAACAGTAGATACAAAACAAATTTTACAGTACGAAACGTCTTAAATAAATAAATAATTGCATCTATACCGTTGAAACTTGTTTTATTTAACGAGTGGTGTGCGTGAAAACCTAAGAAACAAATATACGAAATACTGTAAGTACCAGCATAATCATTTGCGAATGATTAAGTGGACTAGATCTATTTACCGTTAAAAATCAATCAATAAGCAATAAAAATCTCACTGCAATACCAACTCGGTTGGCGATTTTAACCCGAGCTACGTTTCATACGGTCAAACGGTCATACAGTGGGTAATGCTAAGTGTAAGCGTACGGGTGAAGCAACTGATTCTTACTGACTTTGGTGCTGGCTCCACTCAATCGTAACTGACTCGCGTTTGTGTTCGACTTATTGCCGACCGCCGATCTGTAACAATTATTACTTGTGTGAATCATCATCGTCCCCACTGTTGGGGCACAGGCATTCCCAATGGATGGAATAGGGAGTTCGGGCCATGACCCACCACGCGGGCCCAGTGCGGATTGACGGGTGCTAACGACTGCAGATGCCTGGACCAACGGCTTAACGTGCCTCCCGAAGCACGGAGGAGCTCGAGATGGTAAATTTTTGGCCACCCATCCAATGACAGACCACTGCGAAAGTTGCTTAACTTCAGCGATCGCAACCGAACGCGCTAACCACTTGCGCCATCGAGCTCCTCGATATTATGTGTGTATATATAATTCTCATTTGCTCTGTCGGGTTTGGATTTTTTTTTACACAGCTTAGTGAAGCTGCCAGGTTAAAATAAACTAATTTCTATATATTCCGTCAGTTAGATTATCAAAAACGCACACTTAGTTTTTGTTTTGTTAATCAAACGAGAAAATTAAAAGATAAAGCGCATTAAAGATTGGGGGTGGAGGCTCGTGACGTCACTTCTAAGTAAAAGTTGTACCAAGAAGTGACGTCATGCAATTAATGAAAAATACGTGTCCAATACTTTAAGATAATTTACGTAATAGACGAAGAAGAAAAAGTTTGTCATTATCTCTATTATAATTATTAGTCCATTTAAATAATTAATATTGCACAGGCTTTCCTTCAGACTAAAATAGGGAGAAGTCATTACACACCACGCCACCACGCAGGCCGAGTGGGGGTTGGTAGGTGCTAACGACAGCATATGCAGTCGGAAACAACGTTTTCACGTCCCTTCTGAAGTTTGAAATACTATATTTCTTAGTCACTCGTCCTATGACCAAATAATGTCGCGTGAGTTGTATGAAAAGCTTCGGCAGAAATAACAAAATAAAATCGATAGCGATAGCCATAGCAATCCCGTGAGGCGCTTAGCCCCTGTGGGCCAATCGCCTAACCAGATTGCTTTGGAAAACGCTATCGCTTACGATTTCATTTTGTTATTTCTAACCGCCGAAATACCTTACGCTCATTTTCTTTAACTTTGTTATTACCAATGCAAAAGAAAAAAAAAGAGCGCGAGGCATTTGAAAACCTCAGGGGGCTAGAAATAACAAAATGAAATCGTAAGCGATAGCGTTTTCCTAAGCAATCCAGTTAGGCGATTGGCCCCCTGGTCAGCGTCGTTGTCGCTGGGGGAGTCAAGCGACGGGTCTTTTTTTTTATAGATAGATCAGACAAATGACTCCACCCCACCTGATGTTAAGTGATGGTGAAGTCCAGACGTGAAGATAGCTGGTAAAGCAGTTCTACCTGCCACACCAGCCATCCTCACCTTGCCGGCCTGCATGTTGCTTCTTCACGCCTCTTAAAGGATCCCAGGTTGTAAGAGGGAGGGAACACATGAGCGGGCAGAACAATCCACTTCTGGATAGTGCGACAAAGAAATGAGTCACCAAATTTTTGGAATTGGAACGCGTTGGAATTGTGGTTACAGTTAGACGGTGACACCGAAGGCCAGCGCTCGTGGTCCTCTGAAGGAAAGGGGAAGGTGGAATAAGAGAGAATAACTCTTCAAAACACTCACCGTGGTACAGACGATAGAACGCGCTTAGTGACGCAACGTCACGAGGACGAGTCGTCCGACTTGCGGCGCCCGTAGTATCGCGGGACCGCGGCCGGGGCTCGTTCCCCGCTGTGTATACAATCGTTAGTATAGTACGTACTGGTCAGCGTCGTCGCTGGTGGAGTCGAGCGACGGGTCGCTGGACGAGTCGTCCGACTTGCGGCGCCCGTAGTATCGCGGGACCGCGGCCGGGGCTCGTTCCCCGCTGTGTATACAATCGTTAGTATAGTACGTACTGGTCAGCGTCGTCGCTGGTGGAGTCGAGCGACGGGTCGCTGGACGAGTCGTCCGACTTGCGGCGCCCGTAGTATCGCGGGACCGCGGCCGGGGCTCGTTCCCCGCTGTGTATACAATCGTTAGTATAGTACGTACTGGTCAGCGTCGTCGCTGGTGGAGTCGAGCGACGGGTCGCTGGACGAGTCGTCCGACTTGCGGCGCCCGTAGTATCGCGGGACCGCGGCCGGGGCTCGTTCCCCGCTGTGTATACAATCGTTAGTATAGTACGTACTGGTCAGCGTCGTCGCTGGTGGAGTCGAGCGACGGGTCGCTGGACGAGTCGTCCGACTTGCGGCGCCCGTAGTATCGCGGGACCGCGGCCGGGGCTCGTTCCCCGCTGTGTATACAATCGTTAGTATAGTACGTACTGGTCAGCGTCGTCGCTGGTGGAGTCGAGCGACGGGTCGCTGGACGAGTCGTCCGACTTGCGGCGCCCGTAGTATCGCGGGACCGCGGCCGGGGCTCGTTCCCCGCTGTGTATACAATCGTTAGTATAGTACGTACTGGTCAGCGTCGTCGCTGGTGGAGTCGAGCGACGGGTCGCTGGACGAGTCGTCCGACTTGCGGCGCCCGTAGTATCGCGGGACCGCGGCCGGGGCTCGTTCCCCGCTGTGTATACAATCGTTAGTATAGTACGTACTGGTCAGCGTCGTCGCTGGTGGAGTCGAGCGACGGGTCGCTGGACGAGTCGTCCGACTTGCGGCGCCCGTAGTATCGCGGGACCGCGGCCGGGGCTCGTTCCCCGCTGTGTATACAATCGTTAGTATAGTACGTACTGGTCAGCGTCGTCGCTGGTGGAGTCGAGCGACGGGTCGCTGGACGAGTCGTCCGACTTGCGGCGCCCGTAGTATCGCGGGACCGCGGCCGGGGCTCGTTCCCCGCTGTGTATACAATCGTTAGTATAGTACGTACTGGTCAGCGTCGTCGCTGGTGGAGTCGAGCGACGGGTCGCTGGACGAGTCGTCCGACTTGCGGCGCCCGTAGTATCGCGGGACCGCGGCCGGGGCTCGTTCCCCGCTGTGTATACAATCGTTAGTATAGTACGTACTGGTCAGCGTCGTCGCTGGTGGAGTCGAGCGACGGGTCGCTGGACGAGTCGTCCGACTTGCGGCGCCCGTAGTATCGCGGGACCGCGGCCGGGGCTCTATCACCACTGTGTATGGAATTAATAGTTATTATAAATAACTTAATAGAAAGATAAATTTAAAGGTAAGACTATACTAACGCTAAATTAATATTCGATGTATTATGAACTTCGTTGTGTAGTATCCTACTCTACGACATTAAAAACTACGTTTGTCAGTAAGTAAGTAAGACTAGGATGACCTAAGAAGACCGTCACGTAATATCGAAAGTCAACTTTAAGAGTATCATACCGACCGATAGCGAGTGAGAGAGTAAAGAGTGCGTAAATCTCCATTTACGAAGATATGTATTAAACGGCGCGTTTTGGGGCTGTATCAAAGAGCACAATTTAAAGCTGTATTAAACAACACAATTAATTATTTGTCATGAATAAAATCATAACAAAGGCTCGACTAAATCAGTTTGAACAAACTTCGACAAAACTGATTTATCGTAGTTTTCTTCAAACCCAACATCAATCCATACAATAACTTCAAAGTTGAATCACAAAAAATTGTATTGCTATCAAAATCTCATCGCAAAATTACACTTGAAACAAGCATAGAAAAGCTATGATATTTTAAATAAGATGTACCGAAACCGCTTACCTTGCATAATAAAAAATAAATTGAACGAGCTTACCTATCGTGCGACATGGGCCTCGAGTTATTACGCTTGGTATATTCATGACTGTGGAACAGTAAAACAGTATTAGCCATTTTAACAAAATATAGTTACAAAAAAATTTGTAAGGGCCACTTACACGATAATTCTTAATTCTAATAGGGTGTTTGACAGTATTGAAAATAAAGTGCCAATTGTTAGCATCTATCTGTGTTTAGAATGAATATTGGCAGGGGATTTTACTATTTTTACAAAAAAAAAATATTCATAATTTTACTAAAAACCCACGAAAAAGATAATAGTTTTCTTATCTATTGTCACGTGACCCAAAACGCTTGGGATTGGCGGAGCCTAAAATGACGTCACACGCAAGTAAACTTCCGGTTAAAGTGACATTACATTGTATCGTTTGACGTTTTAATAACAGTCGTGTGACGTCACACACTAGTAAGACGCCATATTGTCCAGAAAAACGTTTTCGCGGCAACTTGAAAATGGAGTTTTTGATTTGGTTATTTTTACTGAAATACACAACAGAATGATGAATATCTACTTTTTACGGACTCCATAAACATTAGTCAATATCGCGAGATCGTTTTCTAAAACTTGTCAAATACCCTATTAAGGCTTAATCTTGTTTCACACATCATTACATCTTTTTTTAAAGTCAAAAAAGAGATAGAATAAAGCTTAAACATGATTAAAGCGTAAACTAAAGATAATTAGTAAATATTTCTTATATATAAAATAATGTTATATGATAAATGTATGTTTAATCAGGACAAATAATGAAATAATATAAAAACATAATTATCACTTGTATTACATAAATGAGTCGTGCTGCTAAAGGAAATATTATATAAAAACTAGCTGTCCCAGCGAACTTCGTACCGCCCAAAAAAAATAGGGGTTGGTGATAGAAAGGTGAAAATTTAGGGTTGTATCTATTTTTGTATGATGTATCATAAAAAAATTAAAAAAAAATATCTAAAATTGAAAAATAAATTTAGGGGTGGATTACCCTTAACATTTTGGGGGATGAAAAATAGATGTTGTCCGATTCTCAGACCTACCCAATATGCACACAAAATTTCATGCGAATCGGGAAAGCCGTTTCGGAGGAGTTTAACCACAAACACCGCGACACGAGAATTTTATATATTAGATATAGTAAGTAAAATGTTTCACAAAATTATTGTATGATGTGTGATTATTTTTGTTAAAAACTTACAGAACATGTTTGCAATGCCCTTGCTCATGTTAAATATCTCATTTTAATTTTAAGAACCCATATACCAACATGAAGAAATAAAGTTTATGATTATGATAAACCTGGACTAAATTTGATATTGGTGTCGATTCTGGCACAATTCTCTAAATCTAAACTTAAATTAGACAACAGTGTATCCTTGTCATTCCCTATACAGAATGAAAAGGAGAGACTGATAGTAAATTTAGTTTTAGGTTTAGAGAATCACGCCAGAATCGACACCACTGTCACTTTTGTATGCTAAAAAGAAGACAGACCCAACATTAGGTTTAAACCAAGACTAACTTTAGTCGGCGTTTTGGAATAAGGTGGTTGAAGTTGATTTAAGAACGTTGGTGCAAGTTGCCTCCGTCATCATCATCATCAGCCTATTAATATCCCCACTGCTGGGGCACAGGCCTTCTCTATGGATGGAATAGGGAGATTGAGCAATGACCCACCACGTGGGCCCAGTGCGAATTGGTGGGTTCTGAAGATGCAGATGCAGCCGGGACCAACGGCTTAACGTGCCTTCCGAAGCACGGAGGAGCTCGAGATAGGAGACTTTTCGTTACCCATCCAATGACCGACCACTGAGAAAGTTGCTTAACTGCAACGATCGCAGCCTAACGCGCTAACCACCTGCGCCATTGAGCTCCTCATCGAGATTCCTTCATATGTAGACACTTCTCTTGCCAAGATCATACTCATAATATTAAAAAGTGTACAAACTTTTGTGGACTTCGCGATCTTCTTCTGTAGTTACGTGACCTGGAGTTGTACGGGCTCATAGATTTCGACTTCGATCTCGATCTTGACCTCGAGTAGGATCGCGACCTCGAGTACGAGCGTCGACGCGACCTCGACCGCGACCTCGACTTCGACCTCGATCGCGACCTCGACCGTGACCGTGACCGGGAACGCGATCGAGATAAAGAACGCGATTTGGCATCGGGTGGCCATTGAGGCCCCATTTGAGGACGAGGCGCCGGCGATCTGGAATTAAAAATACCAGTCCCCTCTTGATTCGCAAAATAAATAAATATTTCCAACACTCACACCAATCAGCCTAGCCCCAAAGTAAGCACTGTAAGGCTTGTGTTATGGGATACTAGAGTAACGGATAGAATATATATACTTTTACATATAAATTTATATAGAAATATCTAAACATCCATGACCGAAGTATAAATGCTCGTATTCATCACACAAACATCTGCCCCCACCGGGACTGGAACCCGGGACTTCCCGAGTAGGCGACACCATGAAACCCGGCGTACAAACCACACGGCCACGGAGGTCGACCGAAAAGATAAATATCTTATCTTAATAAAACACGAAATAATCAAAGAATAAGAAATAATATGGAAGCATTTCTTTCAAAGGCCGCTAAAAATGGTTTAAAATTCAAACAACTAATGTTCAATACTAATGCGAGCCGTACACAAGACAGAACAAAATAATTTGACGAATTAAATATCTGCAAATGAACTAGGCTATCCATACATTGGATGAGATGATGTTAAATGGAAACCCCAACCAATTACATGATCGGCGTGTTGATCTGTTTTTTTGCCCCGCCCACTTGATCGCAGTTTACATGGAACCACTTTTTAGCGCAGTTTGTATTTCACATTATTTCTAATTCGTTGCAAATAATAATCTTCAATGTGCCAGTATGCCTTATAAAAGTATTATTATGACACAATGTAATGCACATTCACATGAACACATTGTAAGCCAGTGTATATTAGAAATTAAAAACGAAATTAACGTCTTGAAAAGTAAAATATTTTTGACGACATGCAAAAAAATGTACCTATGTATAAATGCAAAGCAATATGTACCTATGTCTGTAATGTTTTAATATGTTTTTGAAAAGAGGCAAAAATATGTTTCCAATACTTTATAATAATCAGATAAAGGAAGAAACAAGTGTATTAATTATAATTAACCAACCTGTTGACAGGCCTGCGTGCCACGTCAGAATACGTGGGCTCCTTCTTCAAGTTTAACTTCAATTTGTCAGCATACAAAGGTTTGGGCGGAGGTGCTGCAATGACGAGAGAATTATTAACAATTAGAATGGACTATAGGTTTTGGTCTCGGGTTTTTTCTTTATGTTTATGCAGGCAAACGAGCTAGCAGTCCACCTGATGGTAAGTGGTCACTGCTGCTCATGGACACTTGCAGCACCAAGGGCTCCATTCATGATTCCGACTCTGATAGAAAACTTAAAACTTTTTGAAGACCGTGAGAAGTCATATCGTAGCTGAGGGAAACCCGCTGAGGGAAGATCTTGCTGGTACGCAAGAAAAAAGAACGCGCGTAACGCATGGTCTGTGTCCCAGTAGCGCGGTTATGAGCATAGTGACTGAAATGCAAACGTCGCCGCCACCAAAGGACGCGATGAACTGTATGTGGTCGGGCGGGGGCGGCGCGGGTGAGGGAGAGCGCGAGGCCGAGCGAGACAGCGAGCGCGCGCGCGGCGCCGCGTAGCTGGGCGGGCTGGCAACGCGGCACGACAGCTGCTCGTCCCTATATGACATGCACTCACGCGGCTCCGTGTCGTCGCCGCCGAAGGACGTGATGAACTGTATGTGGTCGGGCGGGGGCGGCGCGGGTGAGGGAGAGCGCGAGGCCGAGCGAGACAGCGAGCGCGCGCGCGGCGCCGCGTAGCTGGGCGGGCTGGCAACGCGGCACGACAGCTGCTCGTCCCTATATGACATGCACTCACGCGGCTCCGTGTCGTCGCCGCCGAAGGACGTGATGAACTGTATGTGGTCGGGCGGGGGCGGCGCGGGTGAGGGAGAGCGCGAGGCCGAGCGAGACAGCGAGCGCGCGCGCGGCGCCGCGTAGCTGGGCGGGCTGGCAACGCGGCACGACAGCTGCTCGTCCCTATATGACATGCACTCACGCGGCTCCGTGTCGTCGCCGCCGAAGGACGTGATGAACTGTATGTGGTCGGGCGGGGGCGGCGCGGGTGAGGGAGAGCGCGAGGCCGAGCGAGACAGCGAGCGCGCGCGCGGCGCCGCGTAGCTGGGCGGGCTGGCAACGCGGCACGACAGCTTCTTGTCCCTACAGTGTACAAAGGAAAAAAATATGTTACACAATTTCTACACCAACCATGTTCGTGTAAGAACAGAGTTTGAATTTCGATAGCAGAGTAAAATGAAGAGAGTTTGATTAGATATATATTCGATAAACTTAGAAAGCTTTTTCCCTAAGTCCTCACAAAAGGTCTTAAACTAAGAAATCATACCTATGAGTCCTCCGCTCCCGCCTGCTCTTCCTTCCCGAAGACATCGCCTTCTCCTTCTCCTCCCGCAGCAGTTGTTTCTGGTGCTCGGCATCATACTGAGAGGACAGAAACCACAGTGACTCACCTATGCGCCCGTCGCTCCCTCCTGCTCTTTCTTCCCGAGAACATCGCCTTCTCCTTCTCCTCTCTCAGCAGTTGTTTCTGGTGCTCAGCATCATCAGCGTCTCCCGTGAGGAAGGAGAACAGGTCGCAGCCCGCCATGCCGAATTGGGGGCCCACGGCGTTCAACTCGTGTGCCTGCTCTCCACAATACGGTGTATTAGGGACTGTAGTTTAACTATTTACAGTAAAATGTTTCAGCTACAATAACAAATGGTACCCTTAGCCCAAACCATTATCGATTTCGATCTTGATATGCGTCAAATGTGTACTGATTTTAGTTCTCTTTACGTCAGTTGTGGCGCTGCTGATCAAGTTTTCATACAAAATTTGACAATAACAAGGGTACAGAATGCCTGAATTTCTAAATGTTAAAGAAAGGGAACATAGCGGCTTATCCGCTATGTGGTCGAGCGCCGTTGCCTATCCTGACTTAATTCCCCTAGGATTATGTCAGGATAGGCAACGGCATAAGTGATTTTATTTACTTAAGTATCGCAAGGTCTATGGGCTAAGGTGACCGCTTAACATCACGCAGCCTATATGCTTGTTTGCCACACTTTTAATATACAGAATAAACAAATTGGACAAGTGTCTCCTTTTCATTCGGTGTAGAAAATGACTAGAATAGACTGTTATCAAATATTTTTTTGGATATAGAGAAACATGCTAAAATTGGTCCCAATATAAAGTATTAATAAATAAATACAAGACAACTCAAAACAGCAATCCAAGTCCATAGTACTAATAGTTTTATAGTCCATAGTAACTAAATAATTGGCATGTGGCAGGTACATTGTAGATATAGTTGTGCTACACATGTGTTGTCTTGACAAAATGGAGAAATTTCTATTACGGCCAATGCTCGGCGGAACGTTGATAAGCCGATTGTCATAGCAATACATTTAATTATACTAAATTTACAATTTAGAGAATGATTAGACACATAAAGGTCACCCGGCATTTTGTGCCAAAGTTGTATACTTTTTTATTTTTTTTATCTGTGTTTCATTATTGGGTAACGTAGTCTGGCAATATTTGTCATCAGCAGTTAGCTGTCAATGTCAAATACGTAGGTTTGCCAATATAACCTCTAAATACAAAGAAAATAAATGTAATTATCACTATTCTTCACAAAATAGAATAGAATACTATAATCATAATAAATTAATATTTAATTGAATCTATCATTAATATCTATTATATGTGGAAGTAAGAAAGAGATTCGGTGTGATATATGTAGCCAGGTCGTCAAGAGAAATAACGGATAGAAAGGCCATCACAGCAGAGAAAATTCACAATCACAGTACGCGGGAGTGGATGCGAAATGCGAATATTTTTTTTGTTTGTATTTTAGGATTGTCAAATTGACATTTGGTTTTTTATTTAGAAAAAGCAAAGGAATCATGGTTTTTCAGTCACTTGAGTAATATTTTGAAGTAAAATTCTGTCCCTTGAAGATTTAGGGTTTCTATATCAAAAAATATTAATCATTAAATAACTTCTTTCCACGATTCACTAAAAATAAGGCAAAAGTAGTTTTATGTAGCAAAAAAATTTTGGCTTTATTTTGAGACCAAATTCAACTGTATACAAGTTTAGCATTTTTTCTATGAAAAGTGCCAGGTCTCCTTTTAACAAATACACAATAATTTAATGATATCAAATTGAAATTGTTTTTAAGAATAAAAGGTAGGTAGGAAGGCTACACTACAGGTGTTGAAAATATGGCACTATGAACTGCCAAAGCTATGTCTAATAATCCATTCAATTACATCACAATTGGTTAATTGCCTTATTTATAATGCGTCTGCGCCATATATAGTACAGACATCCTACAATTTTTTTAAATAAAATAATGCTATCACCCTCTTACCTACATGATTCAAAGCCCTTCTTGGTCGACTGAGCCCACATACCGCTTAGCCTGCGGGTTCAGTTGACCAATATTTTTATGTTATGGGCGACTCGGCCCCACTGACCAGGCAACCCAACCAGCGGGCTAGTCCAGCACTATCTACTGCTTAAGGGTCTACCCAGCCTGCGGGCTTAGTCCACCACTATTTACCACCTTAGGGTCAATTCGGCCCATTAAGAATCAAATTACCAATAGGTTTGCAATTTTGTTTTTTTGATGATTTTTACTATGTTTTTACTTCAATATTTTCTATTTACTACCATTGCACCAACAATCATAATAATTAGACAATGAATTTTAAAAATTGGATCAATAATTATATTAATTTCCTTCTGCTGGCAAGAAATGCCACTACTGTGATTTGATTTACATAATTATTCATCTCCTGCTGAGATCAAATCTATTTAGTAAATGATCATTTAAGTCAATTACAAAATATAATAAACTAATATTATTTAAAATGGTTTGTATTTGTGTATTTTAACTGTGTGGGAGTGTATGTCAGAATTTTCATGCTGTAATAAACCACAAAATGGTTTAGTGTTAGCCTTCTAAAAGTTATACATAATATATTGCATAATGGTCTGAAGCTATTAATTTACATTTATTTGTACAATACTTTATGGAATAAAAAAGTAAGTTTGACTCACACAGAAAGGGTTTTGTACCATTATAATAAAAAAAAGAAAGTGATGAAACTAGCCATCTCTACAGATCAAAATATGGTGCAGTCCGTCCACCCATAGACAAAGAATTAACCAAGTGATTTACTCCAAAACCACTTTACTCATTTTGATAAATTTTGGTTTGTACTTAAGACTTCTTTTTGTTGTGGAAAAATACACAGAATTGTGTACACTCTAGTTTTAGATATAGCATGTTAGATTTTTTTATTTACATAATAGCAAAAAGAAAAATTATGCCCAAATAATCACTATGATATATTTAGTAGTATAATTGAAACATATTTTGTAAATACATTATAAAGTAAATCAAGATTAATATTGCATGATTTGCATATCTCACCTGTGATGCCTCCATCTTGTTGACATCAATGCTCAAATCCACATCAATGATCTCCAGATCTGAATCATCATCAGAATCCTTTTGCTCTTGCACTTTTTTAACTTCTGAGCCTGTAATGAACATGAAATGCCATCAAATCGCTCTAGACAACCCATAACACCCAACGTCTGACATACTAAACCCGTTCACATCATTAGCCGTGACATATAACAGTAAAGCTGAATCTACCGTGCGAGCTAGAGGGTTGGGCGCCTGGATCATTATAATTGTATCCTATAGCTGCACCAGTTCCCTTTCTCTCGTGTAGTTTTTCCCTTTGCATTTCTTTCTCTTCTATTGTGACTCCAAATTGTTCTTCAATGGCCAGCTGCTGAAGAAACTTATCTTCACCTGAAAATTAAAACCATATATTGTTTTAAACTTCCATTGTCACTAAAGCTATAGTAAGTAGTTATTTAACAGGTTTGTTACTATGTACTTTGTATCTTAGTCCCCAATATTTAGCACCAATGCAAGCACCATTATCTTTGAGTACTAAAAAACAAGGAACATGGTAGCAATCCCAATAATAAAATAAATTATTGAATATAATAAAACCATGTCGAATATAGTGCTTAATTCTTCAAATACCCAAAATATACAAAGCCATTTAATAAAAAATATACTTACTTATACCGAGGAACACATTCTGAGCTAAAATTCTGTATCTCTCATAGTTACATTGCCTTTCTTCAGGACCAAGTTCCTCTGGTTGAATCTCTGGATATTTAACATCAGGTATAAAATCCAGATGGGCACGCACATCAAAGCGGTCTATCATATTGCTGGGATCACCTTGCCAGGGCATCCTGTAAATGTATAAACCATTAAGTCACCAAAAAATTTACTATTCAAGAGTTGTTATAACTTCAATTTTAAATACGTTTATTTATTTTTAATTTAAAATATCTAGTAAGTAAATTAAACAATGTTCAACAGACTCACATTATTGCTGGACCTTCACCAGCAGTCGCAATGGTCGGATCTAAATGTATTTTGCATGGTCGACCATGCAGCTGCAGAAATTGAGTCGGTTCTGCTTTCTAAAGGATAATAAAAATATCAGCAAACAAAGAAAATGATGAGACGGTATCATTTTATTGCAAATACACAAACAACTCACGATTTTTTCATAGAAATCTTTACGACGCTCTGCCCTACGACGGTAGTCAACAATTAAACCGCGAATCATCCGCTCCTGTTTTCTAGCTTCGTGCCACATTTTGATTAATAATTTAATAGTTTATTTATTGAATATCAGCACATACCTTGACGCAACAAATTGAAAAGGAAAATGGAAATTATAAATCGCAATTTGGTTTGGAACATGGAAGACAAAAACACGTCGAAACGAAAGAGTAGAAAAAAGATATTTTGTTTTCTTTTATTAAAAGGCCAAGGATATCAAGTCCAAGCAGCTTTAACATAAGTTTTTTTTAACATGGGATTACGGATAGGGATGCAAAGTCTTTTGAAATATCGATATTATATCGATATTTATATCAAAGTCAGGAAAATATCGATATCCGATATATCGACCATTTTAACTCGATATTATCGATATATCGATATTTTTTTCTTTTTTTTTATTGACATTAGAATACGGGCTGTGTGTGACACATTCATATGTTTGTTGGCGAGTTTCTCGCAAAATGCATTGAGCCTTGCAGCTTTTTCTTTAAACACGCTTGATGAAATCGCGCCAAGCAGGATTTTTTTTTTCTCGCACTGTTTATGTTTCAGCCACGACAGGAAACAAAAAAAAATAAAATTATTATCCTGATCAGATCACTCACATTTGTTAGCACGAATGCGCCAACCCGCATATGTGGGACGACATTTGCGAATGCCTTCACTAAATTTTCACTACACTCGTGCTTTTCCAAGCTATGTCGGTTTTTTAGCGCACATCAAATACGCAAATTGCTTAGTCTCCCACACATCAGGGGCGTGCCCATGGCTTCAGAATAGGGTAAGCCCAAAGCTTCAAAAATTACTATACCTATACTACTTTCTTGACTTGGCGAGCTTAAAAATTTACGATTTGTATAAGATTCTTAATTTTATTTTGTGTTATATTACAATGATATTTAATTTCAATTAATCATTCTGTATAGAGAATGACAAGGATACACTGTTGTCAAATTTAATTTTAGGTTGAGAGAATCATGCCTAGGGTTGCAACGATATATCGGAATATCGATAATATCGATAATATCGAGACCAAAATATCGATATTTATATCGATATTTAAAATTCACTGATATCGATATTATCGTTATCGGAAATTCCAAAATATCGATATTTCGTAGACTAAATTTAAACACAATAATATCAATTAATTTACCTGCTATGACTATCTAAATTGAATAATATCGAAATAACTATTGCTTTGAAATCGCAAGAGCTTATAGATGTATTAAAAAAATCTTGAACCCCAAGAAATATACTAAACTGGTGTGGATTCTGGCATGATTCTCTCAACCTAAAATTAAATTTGACAACAGTGTATCCTTGTCATTCTCTATACAGAATGATTAATTGAAATTAAATATCATTGTAATATAACACAAAATAAAATTAAGAATCTTATACAAATCGTAAATTTTTAAGCTCGCCAAGTCAAGAAAGTAGTATAGGTATAGTAATTTTTGAAGCTTTGGGCTTACCCTATTCTGAAGCCATGGGCACGCCCCTGATGTGTGGGAGACTAAGCAATTTGCGTATTTGATGTGCGCTAAAAAACCGACATAGCTTGGAAAAGCACGAGTGTAGTGAAAATTTAGTGAAGGCATTCGCAAATGTCGTCCCACATATGCGGGTTGGCGCATTCGTGCTAACAAATGTGAGTGATCTGATCAGGATAATAATTTTATTTTTTTTTGTTTCCTGTCGTGGCTGAAACATAAACAGTGCGAGAAAAAAAAAATCCTGCTTGGCGCGATTTCATCAAGCGTGTTTAAAGAAAAAGCTGCAAGGCTCAATGCATTTTGCGAGAAACTCGCCAACAAACATATGAATGTGTCACACACAGCCCGTATTCTAATGTCAATAAAAAAAAAGAAAAAAATATCGATATATCGATAATATCGAGTTAAAATGGTCGATATATCGGATATCGATATTTTCCTGACTTTGATATAAATATCGATATAATATCGATATTTCAAAAGACTTTGCATCCCTAATCATGCCAGAATCCACACCAGTTTAGTATATTTCTTGGGGTTCAAGATTTTTTTAATACATCTATAAGCTCTTGCGATTTCAAAGCAATAGTTATTTCGATATTATTCAATTTAGATAGTCATAGCAGGTAAATTAATTGATATTATTGTGTTTAAATTTAGTCTACGAAATATCGATATTTTGGAATTTCCGATAACGATAATATCGATATCAGTGAATTTTAAATATCGATATAAATATCGATATTTTGGTCTCGATATTATCGATATTATCGATATTCCGATATATCGTTGCAACCCTAATTACGGATACTGGTGTTGATTCTGGAACGATTATCTAAACTTTAATTTGACAAAAGTGTATCTTTGTCATTCTCTATACAGAATGAAAAGAAGAGACTGATGTAAAGCTTTGAAAAAAATGCTAGAATTGACACCATTGTCGGCATATTCACTAACTTTTTAATCATTTAGACTGAGTAACTAAAGAGAAAATTGCATAACCATCGAAGCTTTTCGAAACAAGTATCTTAGTGGCGTTATAATAAAGTTGTGTATTACGAAATAGCTTGGTAATTATTACTTCCATCTTGCAAAAGCAGTTAACTACTGCTTTATTTTAAAAAATAAGTTACAGTTACAACCGTCTGCGCAACTGAAGAATTAGTGTAGTATATTTCGTGCCAAACACTCCAAAAACCATTAGAATGCGTCACACCGACATTATCATGTAAAAAAGATTAATAAAACTTAAGACTAGGCTGTATGAGTATTGTTTCCTTTGCCTTCCCTGAAAAGGGAGAATCTTAAAAATAATAATAAAACGTAAAAAAGTTTTTTGGTTCTTTTGAATTTGTTGGTTATTTTTTAGGCATTTTTATTTGTTTTGTAATAAATTTCCTGTAAACATTTACTTAAAATAATTTTATAATTCACTAAAAATTGTTCCAGTCTTACTTAGTCTTGTTGATTACTAGTTTAGTAAACCGCTTTTAGTATGTCTGAGGATGACGTGATAAGTGCTAAAGGCCGACTGCTTGAGTTGCTCACCGAATTAAATGACTTTGAATTGGATACTATCGAGAAATGGATTTGTAGCAATTCATATAAGAAAGGTAAATTGTTTTAAATTATATTTGTGAACCTTTAAGATTTGTCGAGATGCATAAAATTTATTAATCTCTGTTTTCAGAGTTGGAGGCTAAGAAAAAGATGAAGATATCGGAAAAGTGTTTAATAGATATAGGGGAAACTATAAAACAAATCATACCTTTTGAGGCTGAGATGCCATCGGAGAACATAGTTCCACCTACAGTGGGAGACCAGGCAGACTGTAACGCAACCAACACTTGCCACATTGATGAGTTCCTATATGACCAAGATGCAGTTCATGAACTTGTTAAAGAAGGGAAGCTTCAAAGACACTACTGCTTAACTTGTAATTCTCGTAACATAAAAGTAAGTACCACTGTTTCAGGTCCTCTACCACAATTATTTAGCCTTTCGAGGGTACTTTGCATTAAAAAAAAATCTATCAAATATAGTATTTTTGAAGCGGTTTACCTCTAAAAATATAGTAGATGGCAAAAAATGAAATAAAATATAGAATGTGGTTAAAATATTTACTTTATTTTTGAAGTGAGTATATTTTTGCTACTCTATACCTTAATACTTGAGTTTTTATTTTGAGAAAGCTTTTACCAGCAATAGTCTGATTTAAGCAAAATATAGTAGTTTCGCCCACTAGCGGCTTGAAAAGCGTATTCTAAGCTCAGTTTAATGATAAAGATGACACTGTTTGCTTTTTTGGTAATAGATTGTATACCCACATACAATCTATTACCAAAATGGCTGATTTTAGATCTTCTGTTATTATGATACTTAAGTCTGTTTGCAAATTTACTTTTTGTAATAATTGTTGCTCAATTGACAGATTTTATGTGGATTGTTTATTCCTATAGGAAGTATGGTACATTTGGAATTATTTAAGTTAAGCAGCCACTCCTTAAACAAAATCGCACCACATTATAACAAATGAACAATATTCACCAATTTTCAGTTAATTAAGATTAAAATCTTATCCACAAACAATTACTACTGTTATGTCCATTACTAGTCTCATAGTTTTACTTTCCGATAATGTTTTTAAATTAAAATGTATATTTCAGGATCTAACATTAATATCACATTCTATGTCAAGACAAGCACTGCAATACATTTTTCAAGTACTTCTGCCAAAGGAGCTGGAGGATAAACAAGTTTTAGATGTTGGTTCTAGGATAGGAGCAGTCCTCTATGGTGTTAGTATAAAATTCATTGAACCTGATATTTGCCACTACTTGTGTTACAGACTACCTTAATGAAAAAAAAAATACTACAAATTGTTATTAAGTAATTCATAATTGATAGAGTAAATCATTTAGTAAAAGTTGAGCATACGGGATAATTTTTGTACATGCCTTTATAATTTAATTTCTTTTTAAAGTCTTGCTAGGAACTCTTTACTTTTTGATTACTTATTTTAATAAAAAAATATCCTCTATTTACAGGCTTATTATTTTTCAAGAGCTGGTTCTATAGTTGGAATTGAAATGAACAAAGAATGCTGTGATGTCCAGCAAAGGATAATCAACCAATATGCAATGGATAATAATAGAATCAAAGTAATTAACTCTGATGTGATGGAAAGGAGTGATGTTGTGCAAAACTCTGATGTTATCATCATTAATGTACTTGATTTTTTTGTTGACATTGAAAAGCATAAGCAAATGTGGTATTTCTTTAAGAAATATATTAAAAAAGGTAGCTATTTGGTTTGTAACAGAAGTATGGCAGACACATTAGGTTATTTAGATATGTTTGAAGAGCTCATGGATTGGTTGAGCATTTGCAATCCAAGTCAGCTAGAAAATGAAGTATTTTTTGATGTTGAAGATTGTAGTGAACTATTTTTGTATACAGTCAATTAAAAAATGTTGCATTTCATTATTATTAAAACTGATATTTTATTTTAAGTAGCCCCGGCTAATTTCCTATAGTGTAGTTATAATAAATTAGTAGGTACATATTGGTCATTTATATAAACCTCTTTGATAAAAATCAATGAAGGTTTTAAATGATTGCATTGGTGTTTGTTAGATTTGACTAAAATACATGTATCTATGAGCCTACTGACTACTGTGGACTTGAATGACGTATTAAGTCCATAGCTTTTCTCTAATCGATCCAGAATGAATATTGGGTCAGATGCTGGTTTAAATCTGGTAGGTAGACTACCTATGTTTTTTGAACATAATATCAAGTAAATGTGACAATGTTGTGTCACACACAAATGTGAATTTTTGTCTCTGTCTCTGTAATTGAATAACAAATTAGGCACTTTAGTAATATGCACAAAAAGCAGCGTAGCTAGTATAAGCTTCTTTTATTCCTCGTTTATAAACTTTATTATCGGGGGTTTACCAAGAATTATTTTGTCCATGGAAAGATTTCGTGGACAATTGGACATAACGAAATTAGGGATGTTCATTTATTATCGATATAGGGATGTTCCGATACTAGTAAATACGAGTAGATACTCGATACTTTTGATTCGATACCAAGTAGTTATAGCATCGAATCAATCTTGCGATAAATACTCGGTATCGAAACAAAAGTACTTGGTATCAAATCGAATCAGCATCACCATTTAAAAAAGATAAAATTTCCGAACGCAGACAGTATGAGAGAGCAAAAGCCCTTTCGCTCGGTTACCGGTATTCATCGCACATAGGCACCACCAAAATCAATAAAATTTTACCAAAACAAACGAAACAATTGCAAAATGTAAACAATGAAGTCTGTGAATTCTGTGTGAACTTTGGATAAAGGCAAATTAGAGAAAAAGCAAATAAAGGGACCAATGAAAGGTAGGATCCTATACTTTTCTTTTTTGCGACTGCTCTCCTTAAATATTAAATAATCCCTTTGAATTCCTAAAATGTTAAAAAAAAGTGACGCAAAACATTTATATTCTCGTTTTTTCTCACTTTTGTTTTAATTTTCGTTCTTCAACGTTTATTGTTTTTACTATAGTTTCCTCAAAGTAAAAAATAAATAAAAATAAGTGCTAAAAGTATCGATATCAGTAAGTATCGATACTTTAGGAGTATTTATTTAAGTAGTATCGAAAAAAGATTTGAGTACTATCGAAATGAGTAGGTATCGATACCTTGATGGTATCGGAACATCCCTATATCGATATATTGAAAATTATTCGATATTTACCATACGATATATCGAGTGAACCGATGATTTGACAAAGATTTTTTTATTCGATATATCGTTATTGCTTCATTTATTAGGTTCATGAAGGTATCTTCTTCTGCATGCAGAAGAAGGAGAAGTCATGTTTTAATATTTGAATTCCCATAAATAAAAGTTAGGATCATCCTATTAGAGGCCTCCGTTCTCTATTTCGCACTCATTCCGTTTTATTGGTAACAGTGGTGTCCTGTTTATATTATACACCGTGAATTTTGAGCTACTTAAGAAACTGTACTAGCTATCTCAAAAAAGCGATTAATATTTTGCAAATACATTCTTTTTTCGAAAAAAAATCTCCACCTTAACTCACTATTTGTGTAATAGGGAAGATGCATATATAATATTTATGAAAATTTTATGATTAAAATGTTAAAAAAATATAAAAGAAATGCTACTGCAACGTTTTTATTTTACATAATGTTGTTTTTTAACAATTATTATGAATTAAAAATACTTGAAACGGAACGTATTTTAAAACACCTATCAGCGTTTAGTGACGTCTCTCCTGTTATGACAACTTCTTTGAGGTATGGTTGTTAAAGTAAATATTATTTTATGGGAATATTTATTGCGTTTTTTTACATTTAATAAAAATGGAAGTTGCGTTTATCAAAGCAGACTCCAGGAATTTACCAAGAGTTAGCGTTGACATGGTTATAACGTTTTTTGTCCAAAGTGCAGAGTTTTTAAGTGTAGAAATGAAAGGGACTAAATTACTACGGTATGCAAAAATCGTAGTTGTTAAACTTCGTATTTTATTCAGCGGCTTCTACAAATCTTACGGCGAGAATGCAATCGGCTATGTCCAAATTAAAAGAGATGGAAAATTATGTACAGTAAAAGGTCGAGTTCTCCGGAGCATAAAGTACGTAAAGAAGGTTATCGTGTTACAGTTATTTTAAATGAAACGCAAAGCTTGGTTCAGTCCTGCCAATGTGAAGACTGTGCCACACATTTTAAACTTTATCTAATTTTCGACGTCATTCTCCAACTGTTAAATTAAAAATATGTTATAGACAGGTTTTGTAAGTATTAGGTAGGTTACTAATGCGTTTTTACGTACAAGCAGATTAATTAAGCATATAACAAGTATATTCGCCGACTTACGTCAAAGTGATCTTCTCAGCATCGAATAATGGTCTTTGGAGAATAATTGTCATTTCTCTTCGCAGCTTGAAACCACTTTTTTCAGTTTTGGGTCAGAAGTTCCAGTCAAAAACAATTTATTTGGGAACTTTGTTGAAGTAGATTGGCACAAAACATGAGTCAACACGGATTTTTTTCGGAATATTAGTGGTATTGTTATGATCACATGATGATGAAGGATAGTCCATTTTAAATTTAAAAAAAAAATTTCGTAAGTCGAAAAAATATGCCAAAGTATGAAAATTTAAAGCCAGCAACGAACAATTACGACCAGTGACAGACAGGAGTGACGTCATCGCAACCATAGGTTCGTTTTCGCGCGAAAATTTAAATTGTCAATTTAAAACCGCATTTTTTCCGATAAATCACAATGTTTTAATTTTTTAATATATCTGTGTTTTATTCTACATGGAATTCTTTAAATTAAAAACAAAAATAAAAATATTGCATCTTCCCTATTAAGAAACTTTTTTTTAAACATATTGATTCAAATAAATCTAATTAGAAATTTGGCAAGATCTAAAAGGTTATTTTCAAACGCAATCCTCAAATAGTCAACCAACAAAGAAACAGAATGAAAGGCAAAAGACTAAGAAAACTTTTATTCCTACAAAGTATTGTAATAAAATATTTCGACTTTAAATTTGTAGTACTTCACTTACATGTATAAAAATCATCTCACCACCGGCTTACTCGTAGTGTCGTAGTAGTATCTATAATTCTATTATAGTAATGCTATGGTGTCGATTCTAGCGTGATTCTCTAAACCTAAACTTAAATTTGACAGCAGTATATCCTTGTCATTCTCCATACAGAATGAAAAGGAAAGACTGATGTTAAATTTAGTTTTAAGTTTAGAGAATGACGCCAGAATAGGCTAGTTGACCCTTTTTGGAAAAAGGTTTTAAATGGTTAATAAATGTTCTATTAGACCGAAAAAAATGTATTGTATTTTTTTGAGACCTAAAAAGCTACAAATCTTTAATTTTAAAATAGATTTTTCATGGACATACAAAAACGCTATCGGCCATTTTAGTCTATAGATTATCTATGCTATGACGTTAACTGCAGTAAACACATAGAGAAAGGTAAAAATGGGTGCGAGTACTTATGTAGGCGCGTGAGAAGTTATCCTTCTTTGGCATCGTTTAAAATTAGTTTTTAATTGCATGCAAATAATTAATTACAATAAATTAATAAAAAGTCTGGAAAAGAACACAGTCAATAAAGTTCAGTTTTGATTTGATAAAAATAATTATTGATCAAAATATTCAATTAAAATCGCTACTGAATATAATTTATTAGAACATATGTGATTTGCACTTGTATGAAACTCAAACACGTATTCCGAATATACAAACTAGAAACATGTGGATAAATATTATAAATATGAATACCTATAACTGTTACTTTATTACAAAAAATAAAGATGTGGTTTTTGGTTCTACTACACCAATGGTCAAGAGATGGCGCTGTAGTCTCCTGAATCGCGCTTTGGTTCCGTTGTTCCAGATTAATAAATACTTTTGATATTATAAATATGAATACCTACAACTGTTACTTTATTACAAAAAATTAAGATGTGGTTTTTGGTTCTACTACACCAATGGTCAAGAGATGGCGCTGTAGTCTCCTGAATCGCGCTTTGATTCCGTTGTTCCAGATTAATAAATACTTTTGATAAGCCTTCACAATGCAGTCGTTAGCACGTTAGCATCCACTAAATAGAGATTCTATTTCTATTTTGTTGGTAGATTTTCTTAATGTGCGGTAAACACAAAAGTAACTCATGAAGTTGGTGTTACAGTGATGCGCGCGCATCTTAAAATTTCACTCTCATCATTTTTTCATAACGCGCCTAAAGAAGTATAACTTCAAAAATATTTTTTAAAATTAAATTTCTACAGCAATCTTCTGCTTTTATGAAGTGAAATTGATATATTTAGGTTCCTTAGACCAAATACTTTATGAAATAAACATTTATTTTATACAATTCGACATGAACATGAGTCAACTAGCCTATTGGCACCTATGTTTCAAACCTACGCCCTGGCTGCAACAAATGTCGAAATCGAAACGTCAGTGCACTGAGAACGTAGATTTGGAACGCACCTGTACTCCCCCCCCCCCCCCCCCCACTGTTGACTCTTGTCTCAGTCATCTCAATATTTTTTGTAGGAAATTATTTTATTCATTGAATTGTTAATTTTTTCAAGGTGTAATCGACTCGAGACTTCTGTTTTGTATAAATTATTGGTTCAAAGTGAGTAATGCTATTTATTCAACAGCGTCATACTTGCAGTTTACTTTAGAAATTGACCCAGTGCATCGTTACACTGCTGTGTTAAATTATTAACAATAATTTGACAAGGACCGGTAATTTTAATTGTAATTTACGACAGTGATTATTATTCAATGATGAATGGCATAAACCGGAGTGAGAAAACTATAGGAATATGGATATCCGACAAGAAAAGTCAGAAGTTAAATTGGAATGAGTTTACTAATGTTTGTGCTTCACATGGTTATAATCTCATTAAGGTGATTTTATTAATTGTTATATTTTTAACTTGAATTGTAAGCTGTTGCTTTATAAAACAGAAATTTACTAATATAATATTATTCAAATAGTTAACATCTAAGAAAGATAATTATTGTTTCAGCTGGACTTAGAGAGACCACTGGAAGAGCAGGGGCAAATAGATATTTTTTTACATAAATTGACAGACATTTTAGCTGCCGCTGACCAAGGTGATCCCAAGGCTAGTATAATCATTGTTCAATAATTAGTTTGTATACACTTATATTGTATTATATATATATTGTATAATTTAACAAATATTTTGTCAATCCATGTGTATTGTAATATTTTGTTGGTTAAGCTAACGTAAGTAATTAATAACACAAAATTTATCCTTACAGGCATCATCCACAGTTGCCAGGGTAGAACAGTATTTATCAAATCATTCTAAGGTTATTGTAATTGATCCATTGGACAATGTAAGAATACTTCTAAGCAGGTTGGTGTATCTCTGAATATATTTGAGAATTATTTAATTGTTCTGAAAGTTATTTGTTATGAACAACATTGCTTTATATTTAATAGAACTGTACCCTTAGCACAGACTAATATAGAATTTGAATAGTTTGCGAGTCCGAAATATCATTGTCGATGTGTTAAATATTTTGTTTTTGTAACCTCCATTACGAAGCTGCTTTTCAAGTTTCCATACAAATTTTGACAATGACATTGCGCACTGGGTAACTATTGGAATTCAATATCGAAAAATAAAATTAAAATTATAAAAAATATATAAATTACAGGTACAAATATTATTCAATACTTCAAAATGAACCATCATTTGTAAAACAAGGTATATTTACTCCAAACTTTGCTGAATTTACAACAAACAATGTCGAAATGAATATTGAAATTATGGCACAGAGAGGGGTGCAGTTCCCAGTGATATGTAAGCCAAGTGTCGCACATGGATCAAAATTGGCTCACGAGATGGTTGTTATATTTAATAAGAAGGACCTGAGTGCTTGCAAGCCTCCATGTGTAGTGCAAAACTTTGTTAACCATAATGCTGTACTACACAAAGTATTTCTAGTTGGAAACAGGTGTGTATGAAGTATAATATTGACTGTGAGTCATTATTTGTGTAGTCTTAAGTCATGAGATAACCATTTATTAGGATCAAAATAACAGGTTAGTTAAAGTAATGAGTAAGTATGTTACGTCATATATCAATATTTTATTCATATTTATCATTTCATTTTGATAATTTTATTTTTGAATTAATGCTTCTTTTAGTTGGAGTGAATTGGTTTGATTTATAATTAATTTTCTCTGTAAACAACATTTCAAACCTATATTTTTTTGGTCTTAGTTTTTTTTTGTATTGTTTCAATAAATCTAATCTTGTGGAACTACCATGGAAACTCTTGTTGAGTTTTGTGGCTTGTGTATTTGTATTGAAATGGAACTTTTTTATATTGAGCCTAATGATTTATTACAATTACAAAAATATTGTCTGATCGCTGTATTATATTATTTTACAGATATCACATATGTGAGAGACCAAGCTTAAAAAACTTCTATGCATCAGAAAATCTGACACCAATATTCTATAGCACAGGTGAGGTTTGTAAAGCTGATAGCCAGTCTACTCTCTCGATATTGGACCCTCACGACGTAGCTGATATAAGGATGACATTAAACGAAGACAAAATAAGGAGCATAATTAGAGTTCTAAGGAAAGAAATAGGCCTTGTGTTGGCAGGGTTTGATGTAGTTATTGATAATGTGACAGGGGACCATGCTGTCATAGATATTAATGTATTTCCAAGCTATGACAATTTCCCTGATTTCTTCGAACATTTCTTAGAATGTATTGATGGGATCTCCGATAGAACAACTCCAAATTTATGTACCAATGACACTAGCACATTTGATTATTTATCAGGCAAGCGAAATGGATACATGAATGTTAGTTTGTGTCGTAGTAAATTTGGTGTCAACGGAATGAATATCAATTAGGTGTCTTTATTATGGTATTCCAAATTATTAACAGATTTGAGAGGTTTACAAAACGTTAGCTAGGTTTTAAGGCATGTGAAGGAAATACTACCTTTTCAGTGTTCCTGGGCATACATTAGTTATTTATTATGTATCAATGTGGCGAATATACAAAAATTATTGGTAGTATAGAAATATGTACTATTTATTTATTGTGTACCAAAGTATTTTAAATTATATGCTACTGTATGCCAAATTGTTATATCGGTGAGTACAAATGTGAAAAGCAATTATTGCCTATGCAAAATGATTAAGACATTTATGTATATCATTCCTGGAATAAAAGCATTTTGCGATAGCTCCATACATAGATTAAAAATATTCCATGATTCTTTGCTGCAGAGGTATGGAAGCAGTATTACCTTTAATAAAATTTATGTTATTAAGGGATTTTATGTCATAATTATTTTGGATATAATACATTTTTATTAACTTCCTATTTATCGTTTTGATAAAATCAAAATTAAAAGTCATTTATTTTTTGCAAATTGGCTTATAAAAGGCTCTTTTACACGTCCCAGTCCCACTTTATCTCTACCACTGCTTTGTGACAATAAAACTGCTTCTAGTAAAAACTTAACCTTAAAAAAAATATACTTTAAATATTTACTAACCATTATTTATGGATCTGTCCTACGACATTGATAGTATTGTTATGATGACAAAACTCAATGTCGCTTATTGCATTATAGGTCTTACTAAAACACAATAAGGTTCACACTAAATTTGAAACATGAAGTTTGAGGAAAATCTTATGAATAAGAATTAAAAACACAACCTTGGTTTACATTATAATGGTCACGCAGTGTCACAATAGTAGCAGACGTAGAAAAAGTGAGTAAATAAAAGGAACTTAACTGTTCACTTCAGATTTCAAAGGAATACCAAACTATACAAAATTAAATTAAATAGAAATATATTATATAGCTTACGATTTAAACACTTACAATATTGTATCAAAATATAATTTGGTTATTGTTAACCTGATATTTTAATATACATTCCAAATATTTTTTTAGTGGTAAGTAACATAATAATATGTATGCATTGATAAAAAAATCAATTTAAACGGTTTGAATGTACATAAGTATGTATATAATTTGCAAATGAAATAGTACATAATTTTGTATTGTGTTCTATAATAACAAGATATAAGATTTATTTTTTATTTAGAATACGTCTGTTCCGAATAACTTATAAATAAAATTAATAACAGGTAGCTTACAAGAGATGGATCCAATAATTATTGGAAATTAATGTTTGCTTGACTAAACTTTTTGGGGATAAATAATATTGGGAATGGGTGTAACTGAGAAAAAAAGAATATTGAAGATATATTTTATAGCTGACAATATTGCCTTATGACAGATATGCCTTTAAACATAAACACAACACATAATTAATTGTATATTTACACATAATATTCACTAACACAAATTGCATATAACATTCAAATACGATAAAATTTATTAATGACGCTTAATAAATTTTGCTATCCTGTAATGAGTACATAAAATATAATTAAATAGATATTATAAAGTGTATAATTTATAATATTTAAACATATAATTAGCATTTGCCTTGCTAGAATGTATACTGTTTAATAAATTATTAAGGATGTATAATCACATTTTTGTGTGACCATATTTATTTTTATAGGCAGCTAGTAGAATTTAGTAGCCTCGTAGGTATTATTTTGTAATGTACGTGTTTGAGCAATTTATTTTTATTCTTGATACAATATTGATACTGTTATTGTTTTAACGAGGAGTTGATTTTTGTATAAAGTGACAGTGAGTTAATATGATGCCGTCACTTCACTTGGTTATTCGTATTTACAATTTGAGGAGCTGGCGAATAAAACGAAAGCGAAATTATTGAAAAATTAACTCTACATGAGCAGTAAAAAACTGAATGACACACCAACAGTGAGGTTTTGGCGTGCTTTTTAATTTATTAATTTAGTATTTTTAACACTATTTTAGGAGATTTTGATTGAAAATGAGTTGAAATTGAAATTTAGCAGGGCCTAATCATAAAGATAATCAAAATCATTTCTTCAGTTTAGGCTGTTACAAGCACATATGAATGTCTAGAAGCTATGCCAGCGGTTCGTAAATCTACGGCGGGAGATCTTGTACTAAGAAGAACCGGCAAGAAACTCAGCAAGGGCTGTTTTTTTTCTCCCTGTTTTATCATTTACAGAGTCGTCAAGTTGAAAAATGACTTCAGAGATGATTCATGAAGTCACCTTTCATTACATTACCTAAACCTCCGTACTGTGAAAAAAAGTATTTTGACCATATGCGTAATTGTACCGTTTTGTTCGCCAGCTCCTCATTTGTAAACTGTACCCCTAGCACGAACCATTATCGAATTCGAATAGTTTGCAAACCGAAATGTCAATGACAAATTTTGTATGGAAACTTGAACAGCAGCGGCACAAAATACGTAACGAGAACTAAAAATCAGTACACTTTTGACAACGACATTTCGGCCTCGCAAACGATACGAATTTAATATTGGTTCGTGCTAGGGGTACTGGACACCATTCTGTCCTTATCATGCTTTATAGGGAATGAAAAGGACAAACTGATGTCAAGTTTACAAATAGCACACACGAATAGCCAAGTGAAGCGCGGCATGAGTTGTCAAACGTAATCTTAGACGACTGTTTTGATTTCGTTTATAGTATGTATAATGCGATTCAACTAACAATAGGACGGACTGGGCGCCATATTTTGACGTCATAGCTGTCAATTACAACCAAATAGGTAGAGTGAGCAATAATTTTTTGCTATTTAATAAAACTTATTTACTACGATTAAGTGAGACAAAACATCAGATTTTTAATAAAATTAATGTACTAAGGTTGAGAAAGAACACAACCGATTTTTAATAGTATTTCTTTATTAAGACTGTGTGAAAAAAAATATTAATCAGAATCTAGCTCTTTTATTTCGCTCATCTCTGCATTACCGCCCGAGAAGTTATGAATAATCATGCAGGTCACATACGAACATGCATTCTATATGTAAACGAAATTTTTAAATCGACTTTCTGAACGCAACATAAAGTGACATTTGGTTGACGATTTAGGTTATCAAACCATTCATAGCCAATACTCAATAAGTGAAAAAAAAAACAGATAATATTAATTATCAACATTTGTTATTGTTTGTTTAAAAATGATTGGTTTTTATTCTAGAATCAGCCGAATGCTAAAAAAGTGTTTCGAGATTTTTTTGTAAACCGTACTTTTCAAGCGACATTTGACAGATGGAGGTCATTGGCTTTCCTATTCTTATTTGAATCGCATTATAATATTGCTGCGTTTCGTTTACTGAATTGCAATTAAAGCAACATATAACATAGTACAGTCAGCAACAGGTCAAGTAACAACAATTTTAAGTGTTAAACTAAGCATAGCCTGTATTATGGTAACTTAATAACGCGAGTACATTAAACATGATAAAACCAAACCTGGAGCAAATATTTGTGCTCATCATCATCATCATCAGCCTATTAATTCAATTCAAATTTATTTTCATTTATTTCGACCAAACAAGGATCATAATCATTACAATAGGGATGATGACTTATTTTATTTTCTTCGTTTATCAGGTAGATTATCAAAAAGTATTGGACACATATTTTTTCTTATTTCACATAATATAAACATTGCAGAGATATATTGATTTGAAAAATCGCATGACGTCACGTTTTGGTACAATTTTTACTTGAAAGTGACGTCACGAGCCCCTACTCCCAAACTTTGACGCGCTATATCTTTGTCATTTTTTGGTTGGTTGCCCAAAGAAAAAATACTTGTCCATTATTTTTTGATCATCTAACTGACGGGACTAAATAGAATTTCGTTTACTGTACCCCGTCATCATGCCTATTAATATATTCATTTACATAAATATTCCACTAATCATAATAATAATCTACTATATAAAAATAAGTCGGGTTTTCCTTCCTGACGCTATAACTCCAGAACGCACGAACCGATTTCCACGGTTTTACATTCGTTGGAAAGGTCTCGGGCTCCGTGAGGTTTATAGCAAAGAAAATTCAGGAAAAATTAAAAAAAAAACTTCTTTTAATCACCAAACGAAATGTTACATAAAACGAAGCCATCTGGTGGCGAAACGGAGTTCGCCGGGTTTGCTAGTATAATATAAAACAATGCCCCCACTGCTGTGGCACAGGCCTTCCCTATGGATGGAATAGGGAGATTGGGCCATGACCCACCACGTGGGCCCAGTGCGGATTGGCAGATGCTAACGATTTCAGATGCAGCCGGGACCAACGGCTTAACGTGCCTTCCGAAGCACGGAGGAAATCGAGATAGAAGATTTTTTGTCACCCATCCAATGACCGACCACTGCGAATGTTGCTTAACTTCAACGATCGCAGCCGAACGCGCTAACCACCCTCGCCATCGAGCTCCTCCTTTGTGTTCATAACACAAAGATTTGTTTATCTACCGGGATTAAAACCCAGGACTTTTAGAGTACTTAGTAAGCAAGATAGCGTTCTAGCAACCGGTCGACTAGGCAGGGTCGTACTTTTGCAGCCCCCCTAGAATAGGGTATTTGACAAGTTTTAGAAAACGATCTCACGTTATTTACTAATGTTTATGGATTCCGTAAAAAGTGGATGGATATTCATCATTCTATTGTGTATTTCAGTTAAAATAACCAAATCAAAAACTTCATTTTTCAAGTTGCCTCGAAAACGTTTCTCTGGATAATAACAATACGGCGTCTCACTGGTATGTGACGTCACACGACTGTTATTAAAACGTCAAATGATACCATGTGATTTCACTTTAACCGGAAGTTACGTGACGTCATTTTAAGCGTTTTGGTCACGTGACAATAGATAAGAAAACTTATCTTTTTCGTGGGTTTTTAGTAAAATTATGAATATTTTTTCTTTAAAAATAGTGTAAATCCCTGCCAATATTCATTCTAAACTTAGATGCTAACAATTGGCACTTTATTTTTGATACTGTCAAATGCCCTATTAGTAAATCAAAGCAAAATAGGTCAGTAACTATAGTGCCTTTATATGGCCTCTGCCGCCCTGGGTCATGGCCTTCCTGCCCTAGGGTAAATGAGTCCCTGCGTCTAGATACATGTGTACCAATGTACTAATTTGTAGTACATTACTGCAGCGGCCAGCAAAAGAGGCTAAGCCGAGGCACACATTCATAAGTCCTTCAATGCTTAGTTGTGGCCAAGGCTTGTATAGTATTTTTATCAAATAATGCGCGGGAATTGAAACTTAGCAGTACCTAGGTTGAGCTTTCGGAATTCGGGAAAAGCAATGACGAACAACCTTAGAGCATTTATACCTAATTATTATTATTATTACCTATTATTTAACTATTCATTCAAATATCGTTCATTCTTTTAATGCCACTTCCCTAATTTTGTGTTGGTGTACGCTCGAACAATTGTATAGTTACATAAAAATTGTAAGCGTGTGTGCGTTTTTTTATTTGTGTGACGTAATTTTTGAAGTGTGCGTTTATAGCAACAATACGCTCGTGTTTGTGGGAGTATTGCATATTTTCATTAGTGTGCTATACGTGTGTACCTCGTCCCGCACCAAAAATGGTGAAAAATTTTGTTCGGCGAGTGAACGCAATGGCACCTCCTGGTATAAATGCTCTAAGCGAACATCGGACAACGATAATTTTCCCTGTGTTCATTTGTACTTTTTTCCATTCTTTCTATTTCGAAATTTAAATAAACACTGATAAGTTACCTCCTCCGTTACGACGCGACGTATCGGAGTAAAACATCGTTCTATTTTTGAGTTTACTATTTAGGGGAAACTACCCAATCATTGGCACTCTTCCTATTATTGGCACTTTTGAGTTTAGTTCGAAAAAACCAGGAAACAAAAGATCGTAGTAATAATGCTGCCAATTTTCAAATTTCGAAACCATACTAGGTTTTTGTTTTTTATATGTAACGACCTTGAATATGTGGAGCTCGATGGCGCAGGTGGCTAGCGCGTTCGGCTGCGGTCGTTGAAGTTAAACAACTTTCGCAGTGGTCGGTCATTGGATGGGTGACCAAAAATTTACTATCTCGAGCTCCTCCGTGCTTCGGAAGGCACGTTAAGCCGTTGGTCCCGGCTGCATTTGCAGTCGTTAGCACCCACCAATCCGCACTGGGCCCGCGTGGTGGGTCATGGCCCAATCTCCCTATTCCATCCATAGGGAAGGCCTGTGCCCCAGCAGTGGGGACATTAATAAGCTGATGATTATGATGATGACCTTGAATAATCTATTGTCTCCTTATTTTTTTGCGAATTAAACTCCATAGTGCCAATAATAGGACGAGTGCCAATGATTGGGTGATTTCCCCTACATAATTTATTTGGCCGCTCAAGCGCGTCACATAAATTTGCATACAACTTGCCGGCCGCTGAGCCCTAGCATGAACCATTATCGAATTCGTAACGTCCGCGAGTCTACTGATTCGCGATTTAGTTCTCGTTACGTATTTTGTGACGCTGCTGTTCAAGTTTTCATACAAAAATTTACATTGACATTTAGCACTCGCAAACTATTCTAATTCAATAAATGTTCGTGCAAGCGATACAAGGGTGTTAAAATAATGCTCACATTTCCAAGCATATTTGAGAAGATATTGTTTTTTTTTGTAAATAATAAAAAAGTTTTACCGTGTAACTATATAATATGTCTTATGAGGTCCAATATTCACGTGTTTTATATTTAGGCTGTACAGTCGTATAATGCTTAAGTATTATGTTTTAATATTGTATTATTATTGAAAATTATAGTTTTAATTTAAGCATTTAACTGCTGGTTTAGTTGGTTAGTGCGTCCGCTGGGATAGCGGAAGTTACGGGTTCGAATTCCGTGTCAAACCTGGGCCGAGTGGATCTTTTCTAGTATATTTTTATAATATAATAATGTTCATTTGCTATATATTTCTTCAAATGTATTTCGTTTTACATTGTGGGTTACCAACAATGCGAAAAGATGGCGCTGCCTTAGGATTGATAGGAAGGATTACTAGAGGAAATTCGACACGGCCATTAAGGTCTGCGTAACATAAGTAAGTGCGTCCGTCCGGATATCGAAAGATACGGGTTGAAATCCGTGTGAAGCTGGGGCCGAGTGGAATTATTTAGATTTCTTTGTTATATTATTATTATACTACAGCAAAAGCAATTGTTATCCAATTTTCATTCCAAGTGTAAATGTTATTTAAGTACGTACTTACAACTACAAAGTTATCCCAGAAAACCCAGTAAATCGAAATTAGTTGATAACAGAAAGTCAACTCTAGTTTTTCTCCGTAAAACGACAACGACGAAATTTCTGCAAGTTACTTTATTTTGCTAGGTCTAAGATTCACAATCGATTGAGTAACATTGTCTATTTGTGCTGTCGTTCGTGTTGCTGACTGTACCTTATATTATATTCTATTGGAGACTGATTTTAGGAGTAGTTTCTAATGAGAAAGTATTTAACTAATACTATCGGCCGAATACGTTAACGTTTAAGTAATTAACGGCTGCGTATTCTTAAAAGTATAGGTAGCGGCTAACTTGAGCAAGACCGCAGACAAATAAACCTGCGCAGTAGCAGTTTTTGTATGTAAAATTACAACTGCGCAGGCTTGTTTGGCTATGGTTGATGCTCTTGTAGTTTTCCGGGATGTATTTGTGGTAATGCAACAGTTTGATTATTATGTACACCCAGTGCCGTCTTTGACCTATTGGAAGCCCTGGGCATATTAGGATAATGGGGCCCCTATGACTTCCGTTTGGTGATTTAACAGGAACTAGGGACTTTGTATTTGATCTGAGGGGGGCCCCTATCGATCGCGGGGCCCTGGGCACTTGCCCGATGGGAAAGACGGGTCTGTGTACACCTTAGAAATAAAACATACTTATGTGTTTAAAATATCAGTTCTTAATATCTTTTAAAAGCGCTCTTTTAAACACAGACCGGAATATGATAAGTAAAATGTGAAAAAGCTATTATAAAATCGATTTATGGAATGGGAAAAAATCGATTCAAAAGAGTTGTATATTGCATCCAATTTGAATAAAGATATTTTGTCTTTTGACTTTTGGATGCAAAATTGTAGTCGTGCAAAGTTTTAATGTATTCAGCCGATTGTTTTTTTTTATGTAATGTATACAATAAAATTATGAATGGAAGAATTCTTTTATTCCCATCTTTAATTTGTAGTCTGTACTTTAGTTGTATTCAATGAAAGATATAGTGTTAGTGTCTCTTTGTGTGGTCGAGTGGACGTTACTGTGTAAAAGCCGTGAAGTCAGCATTGTTTAAAAATTAATCTTCGTTGTTTCATTTTTCGTAACTACGGTTCAAATAACCATTACTTATATTTACTCTACTTAATGAACTTGATTAAATATTTGTACAACTCTTAGTAATGAAATAATTTTTTTTAATCGAAGTTAAACTTTAAAATCATAGCGATAAATTTGAAATTGTATTATGTACTTTTCAGTACTTATTATACTTATACAGTAATATCAAATTATGAGAAATGGATTATTTTTTGAATAAAGGTCTAGAGTTCTTCCTTTTCTCTTTTATTTGTCATAATAAATTATGAGTACAAATTTTTAATAAAATGTTAGAAATATTGAGAAAAAAAAAAGTTTAAAATATCATCTATAATCCGCTCCAGCTTTGAACGGATGAAAATTTTACCGCGATACAATATAACTTATGTCACTCTGAACATAAATAATGTGAATGAATTTTTTAAATCAGTCCAGTAGTTTCTGGATTTCTTTGTTACTAACATACAAATATTTTCTCTTAACTAGTTTATAAGATCTACATTTTGACAGTATCACACTAATATTATAAAGGCGAAAGTTTGTGTGTGTGTGTGTCTGTTACT